GGATTCTCGCATGCAGCCAACAGAGCTGACCTGATCTGAGCTAAGGCTTTGACGTCGTTTATTGGTGAGGAGCTTTACCATGCTACACTGTAGCTGGGTAGGGGGCAGAAGTGGCAGCAGGAAAAGCTGGGGTGGTGGCTGGGACCTAGTGCTGGTCTGTCTTAGACCTGAGCCAAGCCATTCCAGTCTGCTCTCAGAAAAGCTTCCCAATTGCTAGGTCACGCATCTGACAGAAGCAAAGAAAACATCAAATTTGGGAAGTGGTAGATTATGAATGATCCAATGTCAATTTTTTTTTTTTTGCCAATGGCATTTGCATAGTAGTTATTCAGATGTTTAGTGTATATATTTCTTATTCTATAAGAGTTTGCAGATTATTTCTTATGGTTTATTTTACATATTTAGATTCTGAGACGTCTTTCATCCAGCATAATGCACCAAGCACATCCTTGTTTCAGAATGGAAATGGCATGGATCCCCAAGCAGCTGATGAAATGGGGACCCGTAAACATCGAAAAAGGACAAAGTAAGAGCATCTAAAGGACTTTATGGCTCTTGCTTCAGAGTACCTTGATAATATGTACATACATATATTTTTGTATTTAAGGATTTCATTCTGCAAAGATGTGAGTTCTTAAAGTCACTGGGGCCACACATAATGCTTAAAGTTTAACACAACATTTCCCAAACTCTGACAGATTGCATTCCACCAATTTAAAATTATACAGCCTTAAGTACCACCAGCAAATTTTTCGTACACACAGACGTGCATGTGCGCACACAGACTCACACTTTTCCCTCACAGGATCTCTCCCCTGCCCCACTCTCAATCACTCGGAGCCCCCTGCCTCCTCCCCCTGCCACAAGCTGACTGTGGCTCCATCTAGCTCCTTGCCCACCCCTATTAGACTTACTTGCAGAGAGCTGCTGCCCAGCTGTGTCCTGTGCAGCCATGGAGATGCACAGGATCAGGCAGGCAGCAGCGCTGGGAAGGGTAGCTCCACGTGGGGGCTAAGATGAATTTTGGGGTAGCCATAGC